TAATTCTTTTCTCTGTCCAAATGCCTCTAGGAAATCCAACGAAATTTCATGTTGATTTAAAAACGCTAACAAATATTTTCTACTTCTACTTTTCACTTGACAACAGTGTAAAATTAGCTGTAAAAATCTTGCAGTAAATACAAAGTACTGAATCACATGTGAACGAATATTGAAATCGTTGCTTTGATATACTTCTCAATTACCAAATCATTACGTAATATCTTCTGAATTTCTTTTCCTGGGGAAAGTCAAATATATGCAGCTTTACTGAGCACATTTTCTTTTAAGTATTCGATTGTAAAAACATGAGAAGAGGGACCTTTTGGTTTTCCAAACTGCCTTTATTTTTCTTTCCTTTTTCAGTGTTGAGAACATCGTGACAATGCTTCTGATCAGCCAGGTTTTTCTTATTTTTTGTTTAATGATTTCTAAAACCCCCAGTGACACAGCGGTATGTTTGTGGACTTACAACGCTGGAAACCGGGTTACGATACCCCTGGTGGGCAGCGCACAGATAGCCCATTGTGTAGCTTTGTGCTTAACTACAAACAAACTGAAATACTACTGTTTTAATTTTCGTATATAATTATAGTACATATTTTATCGTGCTCGCGTTTATTTCGCAATATATTTATGTGTGTATTGCGAAATTTTCTGAACTGTTTAGAAACTTTTAATTATAATATTTTTGAATATTTTTCTTTTACTCACTTTATGAAAAAAATGGGAAATTTCTACTGTACATGGAAAGGAAGTGAATGCTCTATGGGCTACCAGCAGTAGATATGTTTAGCTCGGGAAGTCATAACAAAAGAAGTAATGTTATACATTTTAGAGCTTTTGTAAATTAGTTTATTGATAAAACTACTTTTATATTCCAGCCATCTATTTGTCCCCAGTGGCACTGTGGTAAGTCCGAAAGTTTATAATGTTAAAAAATGGGTTTTGATTTACATATACTTTGCCTAACCGGTAATACTAGACCTGAAAACCGTTAACAATAAATTTTATTTAAAAAATTGTGCTTAAATATTCAGTGTCAATTCCATTATGATTATAGATGTAAAGAAATAATTAATACTAACAAATAAAATGAAATCTGTAGCTGTCACTTCCTTTCAAGAAGTTCCTTCTGAGTTTGAAAATATAAGACAAGGGAAAATATTATTAATTTAAATTTTAAGTTTAAAATGGATTTCAGCCATAAGATATGTATTAAACATCAACTATATTATTGTAGCTAAAAATGAACCAAAATAAGAAAATGGAAATTTCACTGAATAACTTTTTACACTTAAATAGTTACAACATACTTTACATTTGAAATATTAAAATTGATTAAAACTACGATTAAAAGAAAAAATCATCACACGTTCTTTAAAATTTTAGATGACTAGTTAAAAAATGAAATAGCTTGATCTATATTCGGATATTTCTTTGTTCTTCATTGCCATTAAGTACAAATGGATATCACGTCTTAAAAGCTCTATATTACGATCTTTACTTTGTGTCTAGAACGTTTGTCTTTGTAACCATTCTTACTACGGTTTTTATTAAACCTTTGGCTTGTTGTTTCCTTCCTACTCAATAGTCTCTTATAATTGTTAGGTATTTTTATAGTTTATAATTACAAATGACTTATTATGGTTTTTGATGTCTGGTCTAGGTAGCTCTAATTTGACGTTCTTCATGTTATTGTGATAAAAACATCTAAACCATATAGTTATACAGTTCCAGTCATTCGTTTACACAAAATAGGTTAAAGGTGAATACAGAAAAATAATGTATTTTCTGCCTTCACGATGTTTACATGAAGCTTCACAACTTTGTTATAACAAAACGTTTATAGATCACGTTTGTTTGACATGAAGTTGTATATTAAGAGAGACATTTCTCGGGTTTCCTCTGTTTGCCACACTCATGAAACCTCATAGCTTCACTTTTGTACAAGTATTTCCAAAGAAGTCATGTGATCTCAAGCTTATTTAATGAATGCAATTATTTTTGTTTGCATCTACAAAAAAAAGCGTTTATTTAGACTTGTGCAAACACTTTCTGATAGAATACCACTGATTGCAGTACATTCTCACACCATCTTCTTAAAGAACTGCATATTCTATTCACCATGCAAAACTATTTCAATCAAATTATTTACTTGTAATCTCTTGTGTATTACAAGAGATAGCAATGCAATAGGTAGTTAAAACGTAGCAAGAATTACAAACAACCATTAAAATGTAAAGACAAAAATTCATCGAGAGCTTTAAAAGCATGTACTCTTTTTTCTTTAAAGCAACCTTGAAACTGAGCCCAAGTTTGTTTGTTTTAGCGCAAAGCCACACAATAGGCTTGTCCACGGCAGGGAAAAGAACCTCGGATTTTAACTTATAGCTGACCCAATGTATGACCAGCACAGTAAATAATAGTAGAAAAACATAAAAAAAAAGTAAACAGAAATATTGAAAACAGTACATAACACGAAAGTTCAATGAAAGAAATACACCCCCCCCCCAAATAAAAACTATACCGAGCTTTACAGAATAACTAGGTAATAGAAACAATGTCTCAATTATACATAGGTAATTGTTTGTTTGTTATTAAGCACAAAGCTACACAATGGGCTATCTGTGCTCTGCCCACCACGGGTATCGAAACCCGGTTTCTAGTGTTGTAAGTCCGCAGTCATACCGTTGTGCCACTGGGTGGGGGCTACATAGGTAAAGGTAAAAAAAATGCCTGGGTTCGGAATAATGTCATGATAATGTTCGAAATGGGTATCTAAAAACATCCATTTTTAATTTCCAACGTGTGATTTTTTTCTGTAATTGTGCAAATCAAATAATATTAATACATTTGAACAGTTATTTCACGTGTCATGAGACTTCGCCATATTTAAATCCGTACAAGGTTTTGGTTGATCTATGACGTTATTCACATAGTTATTTGAAACAAGCACTACCGATTACCATGTAACTAACCTTTTAGATTATTGTACTTCGGCACGTGCGCATTGATGTATAATAATGTTTTTGTTTAGTTCCCTTCTTTAGAATGAGCTATCCCCTTTAAATTAGGCAAAATCAACGAAGATTCAAAACAGGTTTGATATAATAAATTCACGTATACAACTAGACGAACGAAGTAACACTAATAATAAATCGAGAATTATTGATCTTCCATAAAAAAAGAGATCTTATGATGGGATGATCATGATTCATATCTAATTACTAATATTAACAATATTTATTCTTTTGTTTGCACTGTGTTTTAATTGCTTTAAAACTGGGTTGAATTTCAAGCAAAGCTACTCAAGGTCTTTCTGCGCTAGCGGTCTATAATTTTGAAGTGATGGATTAGAGGGAAGGCAGCTAGTCAACACCACCCACTTCCAATTCTTGTGATATTGAAAGTCACATTATATCGCCTCTACACCTGAAAGAGCGAGCATGTTTGGCAATAGGCTTGATTCCACATCTCACAGATTGCAAGTCGAGCATAAAGACCAATGTTTTACAGCAAACAACACCTGCTGAGATGTTGGTTTTGCCGAATAATATCAATATAATACCAAACTACAAGAATTACATTGCACATGAACAGAATGGCTCAAGTTTTTACGTTGGCTGTCATTCATTTTAATAAATTTAAGGCAAATTCAAAGAAATGAAGTCTTTTACATACACAAATTCCTGGATTTGGCAGCTAAATTTTCAAATGGGCTATACAAACACTGGTATACACTATGCGCTTATCATTGTTTTGAAAAGCCTGTAAACATAAATACATGAAATATCTTAATTGTAAGTTTCTAACTGTACTGAAAATGTATAAGTAGTATTTCTTTTACGATACAAAATAAAACACTTAATTGAAATTATATGCATTTGTGTTCAATAAAACAATTTACTATAAAAATACCAATAACCCTTAAAACATAATAGCCCTATACACACTGGAGCACTTAATTCACTAAATCTAACTCTGAATAAATGTCAAGTTTCCAAATTAACAATCTTCCATTCTTATGATAAAGCAACAGTTTATTAAGTTATCTCTCAGGAAAGTATACTCAACTCACCACTATCACAAAAACATTTGATGGGAAAACAACATGTAAAAATAAAGTGTATAATTGTAAGTTGACAAACAACAAGTTATAAGCATAATGATATATGTTTGGAGGAACATGCTACATATTTTTGCAAAAAACTGGTCTGTCTTCTTCAGGTCTTTCTTACTCAAGTATCAATGTATAATCATTATACATTTAAGTCTGTTTACTTTAAATTTTCAAACTAAAATTGGGTCAAAGAAAATACCTCACGACTAGTTGGTCATTTAAAAATATTACTTTGAATTTCATTTCTTAATAAAGAAATAAATCATTAACGAGAAAAATGGATGGTACATGTAACCAAAACACCATTCACAGAGCAACAAATTGTATCAATACATTTTATACTTATTACTTCCAGTTTAAGATTTACTTACTCTGGAGTACCACACAGTCTTACAATTAGTTTCTAACACTGCTAGTAAATTTCGAATCCTTTCCACTTATTATTGTTTCTTAGCAACTTCTATTTTCTGTCTGTGTGTTTTCAGTTAATCATAAAACATATTTCGGTTCTCTTTATTTGTATATTTTATTTTAGTACTATATGTCACGTGGTAGTATAGCTACGTAATATAAGTATACTATATTAGAACAATAATGAAACAACAATGATATTTTATACATTGTTGGAGACACGTGGTGTGACAGACTCGAGAGATGGAACATCACAATCAGTTTTTTAAATTAACGTATACTTCAATATCAAACAGTTTGGTATGTATTAACCCTGAAGAAGCTGTAAAAGTGAAACATTGGTAGTAATAAAAAACAAATATATTTACATCTTTACGGTCGTTTATCTAAACTTTTATCACAAGAGATAAATCAGTTTTTTTGTACAAAGTCAAGTAACATTCTTAAAACAGGAATTATTTCACACCTATAGATTTCCAAACAACCTTTATTTTTCTCAGCTTGGTTACATGAGAATGATAAATCCATCAGAAATGTGTTCCATTTTCACAAAATAAGCATTCCACAAGTTATTGGTTTTCTTCTAAAACACAAAATTATCACTGTAATTATGTAACTGTGAAATCATATGCCAAGGGCAATATTTGCTTACATACAATGGCTCATTCCATGTACCAACAAAATAACCTGGAAATATGAAAAGTGTTACTAAAAATCTGTCTGCTTCTACAACTTGTCAAATGTGTATTGTACTATAAATCTGTATCTACAGACTGAAATGTAACAATTTCAGATAAACCTTTTTAAAATTTGAAACAAAACAATATACTTAGGAAGAAAAAATGTACAAAAAGATGTGAGTAAAAGAAAAATGAAAAACTTTAGAGAATAGTCACAACAGATCTTAAAATATTTTAACAATCATACGAATTCTCTAGTTCGTTTCTACTGAGTAATGACCTGCATATTGGATCAGGCCTCTTGAAGCATATTACAACTCAGTTTTTATTTAAAAAATCACACATGTTTACTTCTCATGATTAACATCTAAGGACCTTCAATTTTCTTGGCTAACACACTAAGCTACTAAGTTGTATACCAGAATACAAAGAAAGTCAGTACACGTCTGATTATTTAGAAACTGTTTCTAGAAAGCCTGGATGATTGTTTACTTGTATCGATGGAAGAATTTGTCTTCTTCCTGAATACAAGTCTAGCCAATATGAAGTAGACAACAGCTGCAAAATGTTGTGTGTTACACAAAACAAGACTCAAGTAACATATTCTGTCTCACTCATGGATACAGATGGTGCAACTTTATTATTCCCTGCAAAGGTTACCAGAGAATCTAACGTGTAAGAGAAGACAAATTTGTCATGGTTGCTCTAAACATTCAATAAGGTTTCAACCACTCTATCCTTATCTATTAGTTATGAATGATAACTGTTTCAACTACTTATTTGAAACTGCAACACTACTAACATGATTCTAATAAACTATTCAGTAAATCATGTTTTTTTTTTCTTGATATGCAGAAAAAAAAAGTGCTACCAGTGCCTGAAATGTATTGGTATTAGCAGTACTACATGATTTACTTATAATCAATATTTTGATTTTGTTTTGACTCTAAATAAGTTATCAAGATAATTACAATAAATGATGTTCTAAAATGCATTCATGTCATAAATTAGAAGAATAGAACACAATCTCTTGATACAACACAATGTGAATCAAGAAGTGAAAGAAAAATTTAACAATTAACTATAATTTGCTATAGCTTTCAATACTGTATTCTCTCAATAGGAAGTAGAACTGTATTCTGTTCTTTGAAGATACATAATATATCAACCATCTACTTGCATGCTGTTGCTGTCCTTCCATACCTAACTGCAAGAATTTTGAACACAGAAAATAGTCTTAGTTCATCATGATGATACCTTAAAATGAAGGACAACTTTTATCTTCTCCCTTGTAGAGAGAAGCTTTGAAACTACAGATACAGAAATACAAAAGCTAGCAATGAGAGTAAAATATCAACTAAAAAGTCCAAAAGTAAACAACAGATTCTCTGGAAAGGAACAGGTTATGCATGAATTTCTGAGTAAAATGGCTATACTACATAAGTATGGAGAAACAAAAATTAGTCCACAAGTAGTTCAAAGTGAACGCTTCCCAACCGTTCTTTTCTATCATGTTTGATATTAGCAGCCCAGGCTTTACACTCAATGTTCATCAGTACACCTGAGGTAGGGTCCTGGAAGTGGACAAACACGAATGGTGACAGATAACCTGGCTGGTTGTTGAAGGGAAAATAGTAGTTTGGAATGCTTTGAGAAGGATAGTAATTAATAGGTCCAATATTCTCTCTGTCAGCTGGATTCTGGAGGAAATAAAAGTTTAAAATTGCAAACACACACACACACATATATATACTATATGAACTTTAATAAATTTAAACATGATTGCAAAACACGTATGAAATCAACAAATGATAGGTCTACAGTGAATGATATTTTAATTAATTTTGAATACATATACAAATTTGACTAGTACTGATATTATTATTAACATCATAATTCATTACATGACTAGCTGATTTAAAAGCAGATCAATTAATAAATTGTGGCTAGTATAAAACATTAATGAAACAGTTCAGTTTTCTATCCACCTAACAACTGAACAGTAGTAAGCTGTTTTTATTAAACTTAAAGGGTTATCTTCATTTTTAACCCATTCAGACAAGTTTTTCCAACTGTAGAATGCACCAAATATTTTAGTTTATTTTTTATAATCATAATTAATAGTACCAAGATAAGGAAAAAATATTAGAAGATCGTACTTTGATTGTACACATATACATATAAAAATTATGCCAACACAACCTTGTAGTGTTTAAAAAACATGAAACCTAACTTTATTGTTGGAGTCTAAGGTTAAGATTCAATTAATTCAGTCCAGAGTTTTCCTCTTTTTCTTATGCCATAATATTTGCTTCAAAAATGATGCAGCAATATTGTTTCAAGTTAAATCAAAAGACTGAGTTAGGGGTTAATAATAACATGACAAATGATAGTTTCTGTGTAAGTAAGGATGATTTATCATGTAAAAGTAAGTTGTTTCCAAGTCTTACAAACCAAAATAAGAAATGGTAAAGAAACAAATAAATAAAATGATGATATTTACCTCGCCTTCACAAGAAATGTAGACATTTCTGGGATCATACTTCTTTTTCACATCTTCTGGCATATTGTCTGGCAAACTATTGTTGTCATAAGGTTCTGGTTTCCAGCCATATATCTGAAAAAGAAAAAAAATATGTCAGATAGCACTTAAGTTCCCCTCTTTTAGAAATTTTCCACCATATGGTTAACTTAATTTTCTATAGCCTGTAATATACAAAAGTAGGAAAAATGTTAGAAGAACTACTGATGAAAGCAATTTTAGTTCCAAGTTCAACATTAGTTCTTTTGTCTCCGAGTTGCCTTGTTAGTTATCTTCACCATGCCAATTAAAAATATCAGAGCATATTCATACCAATTTATTTTGGCAAATAGTACAGCTTATTTAGATGTGCAACAGTTTCTCTAGATTCCATTCAGCAATTGTCATTTCAACTATTTGGCTACTGTAGCGTAGTACAAGCCTTATAATATTTTTATTGCAATTTCAACAATCAGCTAATTTGTAACTACTAAAAGTAATATCTTTAATAAACAAAAGTTACAATTCTGTAGGAAAATTAATAATCATGACTCACCCGATTAATTTTGATCAACACGCATGGACGACCTACATCATATCCAAATTTCCGTGAACTACTGCAGTTATTGTTAATTAAATCCAAGTTAAAGTGGCACACTTCTTCAGGTTTCCGAGTCTCTTCAAAACTGCATGTTGTTAAGTGTTCTCCATGTTGCTGTCCACCTTGGTAGGCTGCAGATATAAATACATCAACAATACTTTATCAACCTGTTACTATAGGAAAAATAATAATAATACCCAGTAAACTAATGAGCTACAGAAAGACAGATACTTGTCAATAACCCAGAAAGACAGTAATAAACCCATCTAAATTGCTAGGTACGCATAATTATTATTAATGTATGATTATTCAAAAGAGATTATAATATGAAATAGACTAATGATACATAAGACATTGAACTGCTACACATAGGAAAATATGAATAAATTACCTTCTTGATAGAGGAAAAATATTTATATCCACACACTTTTGATAGGTTATAGAAACAGATTCACAAACATAGTCAATCTGAAGATAATGAAAAAGTACCCTAACAGGTTATCACAAAATATGACAAGAAACATCTTCAAATCTATGACATATTTGTTATGAAATGTTTTTTTAACAAGACACTAAATGTTTGTATGGTGGTTCCCAACCTCTGGTCCAAAGACTTTACCAGTCCACACAAACATCTAGTGAATAAACATTCATGATATTGAGATTCTAAATCCTTTCAAGATTGTTTTTACAATCCTATGTAAAACTATTCACATTCTGCATACTATGAATATTATTACATATTAAAATCACAAGGGTTTGCAATGAGTTTTTCTTTTTGTTTTTTAGCTTAGTTTAGTGGATGGGATGACCTAGGTCAGTGGTTCTCAATGTGGGCCATATGGCCCCCAGGGGGCAATGCCATGTTTCTAAAGGGCCACACATGAATGATGGAAAATTAGGGGGGGCCACAGTAAATTCTGAGTAGCCACTATAATATTTAAGATTGAATCAAAGGTTTCCTTCTTCCCATATCTGTCATAGCTCAGAAATCAAGTTACCAGACGCAACTAGTACTCAAGTAACAATCAAAATGTTTGTCTGGTATCTGTGAATGTTTTTGACTGATTCTCAAGGGCAGCAGATTGATATAACAGCCCACGCTAGATTCAAACGTGACAAACATTATTTCTGGATAAATAATGAATAGCTAATAAGTTGCCACAGCTCTGGGAGAAGGCAAAGTTGTATTTCATCACTTTTCCCACATCTTATCTGGTTGAATCTGGTTTTAGTCAGGTGACTTATTTGCTATCAAAAATACGTAACCATCTTGATGTTGTGAAGAGAGGTGATCTTTGCTTATCACTGACCACACTTCAACCAGACATTCAAAAACTGAATAAAATATCAATGATTAACAGAATATTTTTTACTTGTATAAGTAAACAGTATGTTATAAACAAAATATTTAAAAACAATACAATATTGTAAAAATAATATTATTATAAATCAACAGTGTGGAAATAAAGTAACTTTTTTCCTAAGTAACAGTCTATGAAGGGTGGAGCCATAGAGATAAACGAAACTCAAAAGGGAGGCACGAGCAAAAAAGGTTGACCTAGGCGAACCAATAGGTTCCTTGTTGTCCATAAAATTTATGTTATGTAACATTATACTTCTAATAGTCAGTAAGCTTTTCACAAAGATTCTGCCAGCCATTAGAGTAAAAAATGTTGGGGACTATTATGCTATTGCATATATTTTACAAAACTTTAGTAACCTATACTTAGAGAAATTAATATAATGCACTGTCTTTCTGTTGAGTATTAACACATTTGTAATTCTGTAAAAAACAACATTTTTTATATTATTCATTTTTTGAGGTTGTATTACATTTGTACAATATCTAATGCCTCTAATTTGATATAGATTCATATTTATTGAAAGCAGTTTGTATTTCAAAGTAATCTAGGTCTATGTGGTATAAATTTGCTCCTGAAAAACTATTTTTTATTTATTTGAAAATATCAAAAATAATTTCAAAACAAAGTTTCATATTTTTGTATAAAGATTTGAATATGATGACTGTTAGTTTCAACCTTAAAAATTAAGTTTTACATCAGAATTTGATTTTTTATCTTGAAAATTTTACAGTGCCTTGTAAAAGTATTTACCCCAATGCAAAGTTTCCACATTTTGTTGCCGACTGAACTTGCAATCATGAAACTTCCAAATGGTACTTTATGTTTAGAACCTACACAATCTACTTCAAACTGGGAAAGCTAAAAAAATGCTGATATTATGTAAGTAAATAACATTTTCAAAGAAAATTAGAATATTCAGCCCCTTTACTACAGCAACCCTAAATCAGTTCAGGTGCAAATGATTAGTTTGAAAGGTCACAAAATTAGTATAATGGTCTCTGTCTGTGTGTAATCAAAGTGCTTTAACTTGACTTCAGAGTTGTTCAAGCCACAACTCACATAGTGATATGACCAACCAACCATGAAGCTTTCTAAGGAGCTTTCCAAACAAGTCAGGGATAAAGTGGTAGAGAAGCACAGATCAGAGAAGGTTACAAGAAAGTTTCAAAGTCACTGATTATCCCTTTGAGTACGGTGAAGTCCACCATTACGAAATGGAATGTGCTTCATACCACCCAGATCAGGCCACCCTTCCAAACTAAGCAGCTGGGCAAGCAGGAAACTGGTTAGGGATACCACTGTGAAGCCAACAGTGACTTTGAAAGATTTGCAGAGTTCCATGTCCGAGATGGGAGTCAGTGTTCATACATCGACAATATCCTGGTCCCTACACAAAGCTGACCTGTATGGGTAAGTGGCAAGAAAAAAGCCATTACTGAAAAACAAACATCTTAAATCTCCTATGGAGTCTGCAACAAAGCATGTAAATGATGCTGCAGACGTGGGAGAAGGTATTGTGTTGTCAGACGAGACAAAAATTGAGCTTTTTGGTCTAAATTCAAAGCATTACATCTGGCGCAAGTCCAACATAGCATATTATCCAGTCAACACCATCCCAACTGTCAAGCATGGTGGTGGCAACATCATGTTATAGGGATGCTTCTCATCAGCAGGGAATGGGTAGCTTGTCAGAATTGAGGGAAGATGGATGGTGTAAAGTACAGACAAATCCTGGAGGAAAACCTGCTTGAGTCAGCCAATAATCTAAAACTGGGTCAAAAATTCACATTTAAGCAGGACAATGACTCAAAGCACAAGGCCAAAGCCACACTGGAGTGGTTTCGAAAAAAGAAAGTGAATGTCCTGAAGTGGCCAAGTCAAAGTCCTGACTTGAATCCAATAGAAAATTTATGGCAAGACTTGAAAATTGCAGTCCATTAACAATCCCCAACAAACTTGTTGGAACTGGAGTAATTTTGAATGGGCAAGAATTACACCATCCCATTGTGCAAAGCTAGAAGAGACCTATCCTAAAATACTCACGGTAGTAATTACTGCTGCCAAAGGTGTTTCTACCATGCACTGACTTATGCAATTAGCAATATATTTCAATAATAGATATTTTCTTTGCAGGTTTTGCTGACATTCAACCTCCTTCACACATAACAGTGTTAAGATTGATCATTAAAGTTTTGAATAAAAACAAGTTCATTAAAAATTGTTTACATTATTTGTATTTCATCAAAATGTGACATTACTGGTAAGGGGTGAATACTTTTGCAAGGCACTGTACCTTTGTGTACAGTTACTTGTACGAGACATGCTGTATTATTTCATAATTTTTTTTGACAACATAAAATCAAATTTTTGTTGGTAAGGTAAGAACTCACGTTCTAAAAACTCATTAAGAGAATCAACCCAATATTCCCACTGCTTTGAGCTACCATGACGAAACCAGATGAGGGTGCTGTCCACATTTTCTTCAGGTGGCGAGGGTCTAAAACCTACACCTGGATTGAGAAAAAATATCTTAAGTTAGCCAAAAGAAAGAAAAGTTTTTCATACAATATAAAACTCTTTTGTTTATAGTTTGTCCTTAAAAATATTCTAGATTACCTAAATTCTATGTATTGCATATATATTAATATTTGCTCTAGTTTGGTAATAATCCTCTGCATTTCAATTAGTTTTGAAAATTCATGATGCACTAATTTTTCACTATAAAAATACAAAGGATATGAGCCGAACACAATGAAAGATAAAAAGAAGCCTTCTTCATCCAACTAACTGATAACACTTAGTCAACCTAGCATAGAAGTCAGTAAAACCTGGAAACCCTTCTTGAAATCAATCATATAGCTGATTCAAGCTCTAATGGAAAAGACTTCATTTGAGTAGATACTGCATCAGCCTTTCTACAAAGAAAACCCAGGATCAAATCCTGGCTCCTACCATCACAACCTGTCCTTCTCAGAATGTCCCTGAAAGTAGCAGCAGTATAGTAGTTAAAATGTAGGATATAAACTTGTTAGTAATGGTTACAACAACAGGATGTGTAGCATTATAAATGAAATTTTGAACAAATGTTTATTGAGCATACTTATTTACTAAGAGTTTTCCATTCATTAGTTCTACAAATAATACGTTTAGGAACTCATACAGAAAGTTATTATCAGTAATCATACAATACAAAACCTTGTAATTATTAATTACCTAATGCAGAAGATTATGTTTTAATATGTAATGATAAAGTATGTTATGTTTAATGATAAGTGCTGAATCAATACAGAAAGCAAAAATATATATATATATTGCTAATTAATATAGATAAATGTGTTTCATTTTGACATATAGTTGCAAATACCTTAAATTGCATACATCTTACAAATTACTGCTTATATGAGATTGAAAATTAAAAGTTTCAAAGTTATAAAAAATTAGATAATCAAAATGAGATTAAAAAAGATATATTGCAGTTTGCTTCAATTCAAATTTAACTTTCAGATATAACAGAATTTATTTTATAATAGTTTTGAAATGACTGGGTTCTGAATTAATACCTAATAAAGATGCATGTACAGCGTATAAATTTAATTTTTTTTTATAATTGCCTTTCAACAGAAGAAGTGCTAATGTAAAAATACTTACTATTTCAGAGAAGCACAAGCAAAAATGTTACAATTATTTTATGCAAGAATCTTTTTTTTAGAATATTCTAATGAAAAGTGAGAATCATCACGGTGTCTTATAATACATTAATGTAGTAGTATAAACATTTATTATACATTTTACTGCCATTAGTCTACATTTCACAATGTAAGATCATCATTTAAGATTTTCAGAAATATACGACTTTTATATGATAGAATGTGAAATTTTTGGATACATATTATTTTTCTCGGGTAATATGAAAAGATAATGTGTTATTTTGTGATGCAAATATTGTATGAAAGTTAAGATACAGTAATACACATTCAGCAGTTTCCAATTCATACTTCTCGATGCCTAGGACAACAAGATTTTTATCAAGAACAAATTTTCTGTTTCACTTTGTCCTTCAGACAAGAAGTTTTTTATTTGAATTTTATTTTCTCTCTTGTTGTAATCAAACTTTGATATTACTGTGTCATCCCGCTATATAACTAAAATTGCATTGCTACACTGCAATATATACTGTGCAAGCATTAACATATAAAATATACTGCAGCAACAACAAATTGAGAGGAACTTAGAAGTACACTATTTTTTACTGTTCCTGTTTGTTGAATGTGTTCTGTTTCCTGGTCAGAAGTATGAATGCTTGTGTGTGTTATGAAAGGGTGGGGGGGGCATCTGTTAGAGTGGAAATGTTGGCCACATTTCAGAGTATTTGGTTGTGACAAGTTGCAGTGTGTGTTTTGTTGAAGTTAATAAAAAGAAGAATTAAACTGTAGTTATTTATTGCTAATACCACAAAGAGTTGGTGCTACAATACCTTTTATTTGATTAATTACACTATAAAATAATCAGCATTAACATGAACCTTAAAACACTATCACATCACTGAAGTAAATACTTTATCTAAATAGTTTGACAAGTAAAACAAACTATTTACTGTCCATACAGTAAATAAATGGACAAATACTATATTGATAATTTGATGTCTACATATATTCCAAAATATCAAATTACACAGCAAAATTAAAGCAAGAACAGAAAAACAGTCTGAGGGAAATCAAAGTGGCATATACTACACAGCTCTATGTCAAATTTAAAACAATCATATTAATAGATGTTAAAAATAACTAGTTTGCTACATAAATTATATATAGCTATGATAAAAAATCCAACAAGCGCATCGACAGAAAAGTACAATGACTTTTACACAGGTTGCAAAGTAGAGTAGACATTCAATTTTTTTTCTGTTTCTTGCTGAATTGCATTTAAAAGAATACTCAGTCATACTTCACTACTCAGAAAACTCTGTTTAAAATTCATTCAAAGTTTCTTTCACCATCATGTGACTGTTTTATGCCAATCAAGACACACAAATCATGTACTCTTAAAAATAAACTAGGAAGCACAGTAAAAAGTGAAGCCAAAAACATTAGAGCTCAATCTTGAGTGGAAAGGGACACGTTGTCTCATAGCTTTGGATTTAGCAAGAAAAGTAAAAGAATCAAAATAGAAAGACAGCCCTGTAAACCAACTACCAGTGATATTGCTGCAACTGCTTATAGCAGCATTCAGCCATGAAAAATAAAAAATGGAATGGAAATAAAAGTAAAAGTGTTTCAGTCTCATTGGAAAAATATCTTGGCCATGATTAATTCTTAAGAAAAGCCAGGCCCAGGGAAAATCAGTTTACAACATATTTTATATATTTGAAATATTTTACAACAGCTTCTAGTCACTCTGGATCAGATAAAATACTTTCTTGAATGGATGTAATAAGTTCACTGTTGAACCAATCATAGCACACAAAAGCAACAAAGCTCACATGGCAAGTGTTTCATAATACAATCAGGAGAATACTCAGTGTGGGGGTGTGCAACCACTTATTGTGCAGGCAATGCACAAACTGAAGGAGATGGAAAAGAAAAGATTTACACTGTTGCTTAACAATTCAGGTTTAATTGCTAATAAAGGCAAACCTCTATCAGACATAGAATTCCTGTGCAGAGTAGTAGAGAAGGCTGGTGTGAATGTAGTAGACAATTATACCAACATAAGAAATGCTTCTGAATTCAGTGTGAGGCAGAAATCCTTAGCTGAGATTGAGTTATCTGGTCATTCCCCCCTTGGCAGCCAGTTTAAAAAGTAATGTTAAAAACTAATTGACAGAATGGTAAAGTACACTGATGAAAAGTTTTCCAACTTCAACTGCATGCCAACTGAGGCAATAAGTGTTTTTGATTAAACATTTTGGCCAGAAACTAGAGAAGAGACCCATTCATATGGCAATTCTGGAATTTAACAAATCCTAGTCCATTTTGATGTCTTTTTTACTAAAGAGGAGAAGAGAGAAATTATGTGGACTAAAAGCACACACGAAAAGATTCTAGCACAGAAATATAACAGTTCTGTCTAAATACTCAACCATTATGTCAACAAAAGCTTCCACTCTCAGCAATATCTTGGAGATTGTGGAGATGATATTTACATTCAGTGTGTGTTTTCATCATTTGAATGCCATCAAGGTCCACTTACAAACCTGGCTGAGTAGAGACATCTTGCAAGGTATGATGCTTCTTAATCCTTTGAGCATGTAATAAAATTTCAAGTAGTCTCTCAAAAAGTGTCAATTATCCACTAAAAAAATAAAATTTAGAATTTGACTTTTTTTATTACTTTTTTAATATCCAAATCCACTAGTCGCACTTTTGTTCGGTGATGTATGTACATGCGATATTAAGGTTGGAAATTCAAAGATGTGAGTATCCAATTGTCATCCTATGAGAAAATGTGAAACCATATGGTAAATCCATTTATTGCACCAAACAGCTCTATAATTTAATTTGTCTATTTTTTTGTCTTGCCATGTACCATACACTAAAATGAGATGTGCTCAGTTTTGGCAAAAATGCTTGAACTGGTTCATGTTTTCTTTATTTGTTTTCGGACTAGGTGAGCATAGCAATTTCAAGTGTTCATTGTTAAATAAAAGCATATTACAAATAAAAGTTATATACCATTTGATTGTGTATTATATGAGATAGTGATGGGACAAGTGCTGCTATTGAGACACGGAGTTCGTCTAGTTCTAAAATTCAACGTGGGGGCAACCACAATTTGAGAGATGGAAGCTTTTTACAATAATGAATAAAGCCTGGGTGTACAAATACCTTATATATGAAAAAGATGAAGGTTACAATAATGAATGAGGTCTGGGTGTACTTGAATGAATGTGACAAGAAATGTGAGTTTCTACAAATCATGAAGTGCTTTGAACTTTCCAGTTTGGTACAGAGAATGTAATTAAGTTTTCATTGAAATCTTTGGTTATTGCAAGTTTCTTGTACTATAAGATATTCAACTTTCACAAAGTAAACAGTAAAGCAAAACATGAACACTAAGTACTTTCAGGAGAATGTGTTGACACCAATTATCAATGATGAAATTCCTGCAGTGTATAGTCAAAACATCAAAAAGATAAGATAAAATGAAAATAAGACTTCAGGTTCCACATCAAACTATGGAGGATGATGCTGGTGTCCATGTTATCCCCTTCTTCAACATACTTGTGAAATACTTGCCTATGAACCCAAACATTTGGTTTGCTTAAACATGATTTTTTAAAGCCTATATCAATACAGTGGAGAGGTTGTGGAACATCTGTTAAAGTTTTGAATTAAGAATGACTATGCCATTGTTCACAAATTTACAATGGCTGGTTTATTTCTTGAGTTTTGCACAAATCTACTTTAGGGCTATGTGCACTACCCATACCTAATTTAGAAGTTACAGATTAGAGGGAAGGCAGCTAGTTAACATCACTCACTGCCAACTCTTGGCTTCTGTAAGCAAATAATGGGACTGACCTTCATATTATAATGTCCTCATGGATGAAAGGGTAAGCACATTTAATGATTGGATTCAAACCTATGACTAGAAGATTGAGAGTCAAATCCATAACCACCAGGCCATGCCAGGCCCGTTACAATGGAAAATACAATGTTGACTAATAACATGTAATCACAGACATCAGACTGAACATGACTGGTGAAGGAGGAAGTAGTTACAAAGACAGCCCAGGATATGAAATGTTCTTATAACATATGATTAACCCATCATATGATTCGTAACTGTGATTTACAATAAGCCTATGTTATGAAATCTTCCTTGGTTTTTAAAATATCTCCTGATACTTCTTGACAAAAGTTTGGGTATATAAGAGAATGTAAGCAGATGCCAGAAGCATTAAAAATATGTTCTGGGGACAGTACCTAGACAGTTCAAAAGTACTTGTACAACTAAGTTTTGTGTTTCTGATATTGTTAGTGTGTGACAAAAAACAGGTTCACCTTGGAGATTTTGAGCTTGCATTTCATAAGTTACTTTGCCATTGTAACTTGGATACAAATAAAATAATTGTTTTCGAAATCCAAAAATAAGCGTAACTTGAGAGGACTGTTATATTGGATACAGAACTGATGTGGAGATGTATGTACAATACTACTGTTGTTTTTTATTTCTGCCAAAAAAAAAGATTTCATCCAAAATATGAGCCAATTATGAAAGACAGCCTTACTCACAAAACTTCCAGGACAAATATCATCAATTTCCACATCATTTTTAGGTGGATGATCATTTCAAAAATGATTTAGCACTAGGTAACTTCATAAAAGTCCTGACTACTTACATGTGTTTTTAACAATAATTTTTATAGTGAAAATAAACAATATAATTCTCATTATGCCATATTTCTTGTCTTTGTAAACTGTTGTTGTAAGGTCTAAAACATATTTGTCTTGCTTTATAAAGTGGAGTATTTTTTGACTGTTCTTTGAAAATATGTAATAAGTTTGGAATAGACAGAATTTTATACTGCTTTGAGTAAAAACCCTGAATTTTTTTGAAATAAAAAAATACATCATAGATAACTTGAAAAAAAAATTAACAAATGCTAAAGGTAAATTGTTTAACTAGTAAATATAGTAATCAAGTAAATATTATATCAAGAGTCTTACAGTGATAAAACAGTGTGGTGGATCAAGTGCTGTATATCATTGTGAGTGAGTTACAGTAATATCTGTGTTATAAAACCTAGCTTTCAGATACAGCTTAAACTTAGTGAGTCAGGCATAGGCAGGAGAAAAATATGAATATCAGGATGTGGGTATACTAATGATTGAGGTCACCTTATATACAATGTTATCTGTGATTATTGATTTCATAGTTGAAACAGCAACTTCCCCTGATAATGATATACAAGTTTCTATTCCTCATTCAAAGGGACACTTTGATACCAGATTACAATTCGGGAAGCACATTCCCACAGTTCTGCTACCTACAGAGTTAGGCTACTGTTTTCATAGAAGTTCCACTTCATTTCAAAAAATACAAAATAAAATAGTATAAATAAATTATGTAACTGAATGAAACTAGGTATTGTGAAAATTTTGGTTACTTTGAGATGAATGTTCTGTTTATGATCTGGAAGAAATGGACTTTACCTTACTATTTTATTATATAAAGATCTCCAATAAATTACCAAGATACTAATTCAATTAATTCAAAATATTATAAAATGAGCTTGAAAAAAACTTACATTTATTAAAATTGAATCTATGTCACATTATCCTGTAATGACTATGAAACTCAGTTTTGGACATGAGCTGAAATACTGAATTCTTTTTATTAAGCATATTTTATTTAGATTTATTTTACATTTAAATATACTACCTAGTATGTATACATTACAAATTATCCATATTATCTTAAAAAATATTACTGGAATGATGAACAAGAAAAGGCATGATACCTGGACTGTTTCCAATTCTGCTTGAATCAAGTTTCCATTTTGGTTGATGGTAATCCACAGTCACATAAAATACCATCAACATTACTGTCCAAAAAGCAACCAGGCAGGCATAGTAAACGATGTAAAAAATTGTAATCTTGGCTAGTGGAAAGAAAAAAAATAAGTTGTTACAGCCTACACCAATCATCTTTACGCACATCAAATTGGCATACATAATAACTACACTTAAAGTTTTAAAAATAAACTTCATTGCAAACTAAGTGCAAGTTTAATTATCAAAAAAGCTATTATATATTGTTCATATATTTCTACTATTAAATATACAACTTACAGAAACTACAAAAATCACTATAGAAACTAGTTGTTTATTATGTACTAAATACTTTGTTTTCTGTATCTCCACTAATAATGTGCAACTAGCCAAGTAGAAGTTACTTAGAAATCTTGTTACACAAAAAGAAAGTTAAATTGTTAAGACAAAATTTAAATGCTTTTCCTTCCTATTTAGGAATATGATAATTGGAGCACACATTTTTATGCATAAATCATACACCTTTAACCAGTGAAATAGTCCACTATTGCCTGTATTCAGATTTTTCTAAGGTGTTTCAAAGTGAGATGTATATGGAAGACCATTTACTCTGCTTTTATATGTGAGGCAGATTGTTATCTGACAAAACATTTGCAGGGAATTGGTACCTAATTTACTTGCATTTTCATAATCTGCAAATTACCCTCTGTATTGCTGACCATCCTAATAGAATTTTTATTTTGTGGAGCACAGCATAATCATGGGTGCCTGCACGTATTATGATGTAAAATTATTATCAAAACTGTAAATTTGTGTTTGAGTACACATATTATTTTAATCTATTAGCTTACACTGTAAAAGTTGATGCCCTACATTCAAATTTTACCCCCCCCCCATAAATATTTTTGTGGGCACCCATGAGCATAATACTTGTAATATCCTTAACAAAGTTATGTATTGTGGTCACATCACAGTCATTAGCCACAATAATAAATATATACAGCTGATTACTGTACTTATTGCTATGACTACAGAATCTTACAAGCATACACAGATGGCTCATGTTACCAAAATTTTCTTCACTGGCATCAATCATGGCCTGATGTAAGAAACAAAAATTATTTTCCTAGTAACATAGATTCATTACTTTCAACTCGTTTTCTTGATAGATATGTAAATTTAAGGGTTATAAATATTTTGATTTATGGGTTCTTAAAGTTTTAATTTAAAAGTCTTTATAACTATAAATTAGGAGTTTTATTAGTATGATTTTGAAAATGTTAAACACTTGAAGTGTTCTTAATGTTATGATAGTGTTTTTAAGTACTTTAATTTAAATTGTCTATAGTAATGATTTTATAAAGTTCACAATTTCTTTCATTTAAGTTTTCTAAATGTTTGTTTTCATAAGACATTCTTTAACTTAAACTATCACATTGATAGTACCAACATTAGTTTTAACTTTTATTCACCTATATCTGTCATTCAAATATATAGACAGAATAATAAATATACATAGTAAGTGAAGTTCATGGTTACTCCTGTGGTACTTCTATAGGCACTCCTTCAGTTCTCTCGTACAATATCTATGTTTGAAACATTTTATTTACACTACTGATGGTTTGTAAGATAAAAACAGAATGATAATAAACTTGTACTATTTGCATTTAAAGTACACTAGTAATGAAAAAGTTTACAATATTTTTTTTTGTTATTATGAATTTATTGAGATTGTTTGTCTTTAAACAACAACATCTATCAATTTCTACAACTAATTAGTCTTTCATTAAATAACTTTTTTTTCTCTAACCAAAGTACAATATCCTGTGCAAAGATACTTATCATTTTCTTGATACAAATCCTTCCAACTTCACTCTTGTTATATAACAACCTACATCAGGTTATCAGTCAGTGACTTAGTGGTTTGTATACATTTTATTTTATAAATAATTATGAGTTAGAATGCAGGTAACCACAAACACCAGATATAAAATCGTTTTGCCATATTTTAAAAGAAATAACTGGAAAACATTTTGATTTATATTTTCAAATATGAATTGCACATCTTATACATTAATGCCCATAGCATAAAATACATTTTTCTGTGACTATTGTGCCTTCAGTAACAACTCTGCCATATTAAATTTTTTCATTTGTAAAAGAATCTTTTGTAAAAAAAAAAAATCACTAGAATTACTGCATTGTTAAATTTTATACTTTTGTTTGCTTTTTTTTTAAACCTTTTGAAAAAAATGTGTTTCATAAATATTGAACTTTCTTTAAAACTTTAATTTTGGATATGATTTTAATTATGCTCTTCTAAATGCATTTTTGTGCCATACTTATATTCTTATAACAACATAAAAATACCAATTTATGCCTGACCTTCCAAAAAAAGTATTAAAAAAACAGGTATAAAAAAGTAACTTTTCTATAAATTATCCATTGACTTTCAAACATTACCTAGAATTTATTCCTATACAAAATATCAACCCTCTATTATGTAGTATTCAAAAGTTATAATGTGTATATAAATAAACATAATAACAGACAAATAATAATAAAAAACAGTATCTCCCCTCATAGTAAAGTGTTCTCATATGCTTAATACAGAAGCACAATAGTTCATATGGTAGTATCCATGCTTCTTTGTTGCTCATTTATTAATAGTTATTGGTATCAGTTACACAATCTGTATAGTGCAGGTTGTAAACCAATAGATAAGCTACCATTTTCTAATTATATATCCATTCCCTTTATCATTAGCTTACAGATATAATATTCATAATAAATATGTGAAAAATTCTCAAAAATGTTGTTTAGCATGTTATGAAATGCCTCTTAATACATGTTTAGTGAAGTGATTTTTTTTATTTCTACGTATGTAGCATAGTGTTAAAGCTTTTCATACTTCACAAACAAAAATGAGTTATATTTATCATACTTAAAGCTTCACGAATATTGAACTTCCCGCCTTTATATGTGGCAATTCATCAGTATTAATTAAACAGTTACTTATACCAGTTTCAAAAATTATAAGGTACACTGTTTTAACTGGTAAATGCTGTATGACCCCTGTGTAAAAAACAATGAGCTTCCATTATCGATCTCAAAACCTAACTTCCCATGACCCACAACTTCGCAACAAAGTTGAAACTAAACAGTTCTAGCAGTGGACCTCAGTTGTCCATATGCATGGTAATATTAACACAATCAACTCCTGCAGACTGCGGGCCATGCGCAAAAATCTTACTCCCAAATAATCTGTTCTTGCGATAAGAAGTTAAGGGCACCTCTAAGTCTTGAAGTATTTTTTTGCCGACTGAAACACGGATCTCCTAAAAACTGGCTACTTACTACACGCGATCTTACGATAGCAAGTACCAGGAGATCTTACTGCAAAAAACAAACAGCCTTAACAGTTAGATAATTTCGCAAATTTAGGCCACATTTGTTCACAATACTGATGCTGTCTAAATTATTCCTTTGATAAGGATATTTTATGACATTAGTAGCAAGAGATTTTTTATTTATCTATTTACCATCAGAAATGTTGAAGTACCGATAAATGTATATTAACGACATGGATAAATTACAATGAATGTAATTATTGAAATAAATACTTATTAGCGGTCTTCATTCTGTATTCAAAAAAGGTGTTGGTTTTGAAACCCTAAATGTTTCACTCAGTTATATTAAACTATGATAATGTTCATCATAATACTAACATACTATGACATTACAAAGTGATTCAATGTATTGTAAACCTAGATCATTGGCTCGTAATCATTTATTGTCGATGTATGGTGAATTTAAATAGCAAAATCAAATCAACATCATATATCTCGCATAATCAAGAATACTGCGTCATAAATACTTTATTTAACAGCATGTCTCACAATTTATCAATTTTCATATAACAAGGGTTTGATACCAGAATTATACACTACAGTTTTTTTTTTTTTATAAAACACAAGTTCTATACTATAATATCTTTAAAGAGTGTCAATTACTGAATTTATACTACATTAAATATCATTGTCGCGAAATATTGACTGTCCCAACTACAGTTTTGAATGTACGTACTGGTTTTAAAGATTGTAAGAAAGGGTGGGGTAGCAGTTTCAAATGGTATAATGCTTCGCTAGGAGGCTAGCACTTCTGCACCACGTGACGACCGCAATTCCAGTTACGCATTAGCTCTACTTGAGGTTGCTAAATAAAGAGATTTTCTCACAGATTACACTTGTTTATTTCCTTAATCAAGCTGTTTGATCAAATAATAATTTGTGTTGCTTAGACTGGTAATATGTGAAATATGCAAATCATACAACGGGAAAGGCAAAATTTGAAACATTTATATTAGTGAAAACTTCATTCATATGACTCTTCCAAATGATATAAAGTACTTTTTTATCTGTTTTTACATCTTGAAAAAAAACATTAGTGTCTACAAATCCACTGATATAAGTTCGATTCCTCGATCGAAACTTAGTCCTAACTTATGGGCCAGTATTTTCTGTAACATTTAAAACTTTCTATAATATCACCAAAAAAATGCCACAATTTTAACACTGTGATATAAATAGATTGAAAATGTTTAGACGTATTGTGACCTATATTGCACTTTTGTGTATATGTTTAATTTTAGATCTATTCTTCGCACCCAATCTATGCTAACGGTGTCGGTACAGCGTCTATACGGCATGAATGCGACCAACTCTTACCACACATTCTCGGTGATGTAAATCAATATCCACGTCACATTTTACGTCACATTACGGGGAAAAAGTTCGTAAAGCCTATTAACTACGAAGACTCGCATGCGACAGGGTGAGTCAACGATTTTAACTTTATTCAAAGAATACAAATCTGATTTCACAAAAGAAGTGATAAAAAAATACATAAAAGAAAACTAACAGAATCTTAGGTCAAATTTGTGTAACTTGTGGTAATACATATATATATATATATTTGGATGTGGAAATATACAGCAATTGCACAAAGTGTATTATTTATCAAGAAAATATCAAGAGACCTTTGGAGGTGTTTTGCAACAAAGTTAACGAGCTAGTCAAAAGTTTTGTAAAACATAAATAATAAACTAATC